GATGAAGACCGAATGTTCATGTGTCAAAAGGCACGAGAGTAAAATATGTGAGGTTTTCAGCTGGAGTTCTGTTCATCAGAATTAAACATGACAGACAGTCAGCATTCAGCCAGGGGTTGTGCCTGAGGGAGAACTTGCTCCAAAAGAAAACTTTCAGTTTCAATCTTGGACACCTGCCTACTCCACCCACACACACACACCCCCACACACACACACACACACACACACACACACACACACACACACACACACACACACACACACACACACACACACACACACAACTGTGTGCAGGGGTCTGGTTCAGCTCCACAGGCAGGCTAAGCAGAGCCTGATGTGGAACTCATGCTGCTCCTAATCCCTTTCCTGCAACTCGCCTACTGTTTGTTTTCGCAGCACACTAGTTCCCAGGGGTGCAACGTTTTATCATGCCCCCACCGCTGCTACATGCGCCGCATGTGGTGGATGTAAGACTGGGGAGTAATTGGTGGTGGTGGTGGTGGTTAGCTGTCTGCAGCATTGTGCGCTGAGCATTGAGGTTTTGGCGCACAGGGATGAGGTGACAGATCTCTGTGGCTGCTGCTCAAAGGAGGATGAGTGAAGGAAAGCCGAGGAGATGGAGGGCGAGGGGAGACTTTCGAGCTCAAACTGTGGGATCAGAGTGGAAAACAGGACCAGATAAAATATTACGAGAAAGCAAGATGATGGCAGTAGTACTTTCTCTAGCCTAGGGGCTGGAACAGTGCACTGGTGAATTTTATGGAAAATCTAAGGAAACCAGGGCAGTAAAAGTGAATGAATAATGTTCACCTTCCCTTAAGGGAGAAATAAGAAGAGGAGGAAACAAAAAGGCAGGCGAAGGAGTCAGGGAATAATGTGTAAGATGAAAAAATGCAAGTTAAGTTAAAAGTTGTGGGGGAAAAAAAAAAAAAACACAGATGTAGCCGAAATAAAAATCCTAAGTACAAACATTTTCTTTTCACACAATATTTAATTAATTGAATCTTAATTAAAAATTAAGATAGCGCTTTTATGTTCTCATCAGGGATTCTTGAAATGTTTGCAGAGGGCATTGTGGGAAGAGAAAATGTTTATATCATGTGGTTTTTAGTGAGGTTCGTGGCGCAGGCTTTTCCCAAGCTGATCTGTTTTGGCGACCCGCTCGGTGTATGGAAGATAAAGGAAGTGTTCAGAGGGAGGGGAGAGATTTTCTTTTTTACTTTTAATTCTTTTTGGCCAGCATCTCCGCATTGGCGTTTTTCGAGAAGCTTGTCACAGTAGCTATAACAAGATTCAGAGCCACTAAGAACGCAGCCAGAGACAAATGTATGAACAGCATTTACCAGGCAGGAAGGTCCAACAAAGACTCTGTTGAGGTGTTGTTATTGGAAATGGAAATCTCTTGAGAGTCCCCCATCTTTGAACTATGAAGGAGTAACACTAAATCTCTGGAGGTGTTCTCTGGAACATTTTTAAGAAAATTAATTTAAAAATTAAAGGGGCTATTTGTAAGTTTTCTCTGCTACCGTATGTGGTTTTGACAAGAGCTTCATCCATCGTTGCGTTTACAAGACAACAGGTTATAATTCACCCTCTGAGACGCGCTACATCTTCAGGGCAGACTGGAAGCTACAGTGAGTCGCTATCAGAAAGTGACGAGACAGGCCGCGGCTAGTTGGTTAGCATGCTAGCTTCAGTAGAAGAAAAGACATGATAGAGAGAGTTAACGTTGGTGTTGCTTTCCACCTCTGGAGACAGCTGCTGGTGAGTAAAGGAATGAAGTTTGATGCTGGACTCACAACGTTTTTTTCTACACTGGATAGTAAACAGGTGTTAAAGCTAACGTTGGCTATGTAGGAATAGCAAAACTTACAAATAGCTCCTTTAATCATTTTTCAACATTATCATTCAGATTAGACAGGTGTTTTAGAGTTTAGGGTGGAGCTGCTGATGGGGAAACAATTAGTATTGCTGCTTCGCTGTATGACAAAGTCAATTCTGATGTTTTGAATGTCTCTTTAAAGACGCTTTATCCGACAGGAGACACAGATGTCAGATTTACGCACCATCCCCAGACAGCCTGCTGGTGTCATCTTCTGTTAAAAATCTGCTCACTGAATGTCGGGGTACAGATCTGCATGCTAATGATCTCTTTAAAAGACTCGAAAACATAAAAATTATAGGATACAACTTAATTGTTTTGAGTCATCAAACCAGGTTAATTGCTTTAATTTTTACGTGCCAAGAGATAATGTGGTACCCCGGCTCTGGAAATGTCGGCTTCTTGCCAGAGCTTTTTTTTTTCTGTCGTGTTCCTTATTCAGTCAACAAAACTATTTTCTTTTAGTATCTAGTAAAACTGGTTGTTAAACTGAATGTCTACAAGTAAAGAGTTACCATTAAAGGACCAATACTGCAGAGCTCTCGTTTTAATTCCTAATACAAACCAAGAGCTGCAGCGCTACAGCAGTTCAACTGTAATGATCAATGTCTTCCTGCCCTGGACAAGACTGTCAGCTGGTGTGATGTTTGGGAGCAAAGACAATCGATAATCTATTGTCCTCCTGTGGCAACGCAGAAAACCACCTCCATAGGACTGTGTGTGTGTGTGTGTGTGTGTGTTTGTGCATGTATGTAAAGACACAAGTGTACCATTTGATATAGCTTCAGAATTTTTGTAAAACCGTAACTGCTAAGGTAGGTATGTACCTGGAACATCAGAGAGGCTTTCACACCTAACCTGTTTGGTGCAGTTCAAATGAACTCTGATGTCCATTTGATTTTATCATTATGGTGTGAAAGCTGTCACTCGGCCTCTAGTTTTGACTAAACCACTGAGAACGTGAGTCTTGAGCCATTTGTCTGTGGTCATTATTCACATCACATGAAGTCCAGCTGCAGTCTAGACTAGTAACACTTAAAATCAGCCATTTCCTTGTGAGCTACCTGCGACACCGGAGAAGATAAACACAAAACGTGCGGTGCATGTGCTGCATGGCTTGCTGTAATGTCACCACACGGTAACCTTGCGCAGCAGCTGGATTTCTCGCAAGGGAGAATCCATCTTACCCGGCTCCAGGCCAGAGGCGTTTTGTAGGAGTTGACAAGGTCTGAGGCTGAGCCCAGACCATCTGGAGCTGAGGTTAGCATGGGAGCAGCCGGTGAGGTGGTCCCTGCTCTCCTGCCTGTAACATTACTGCCTAAACATTTAATTTTACTGCATTGTATGATTACTGCAAACATTACGTTCATTTGGAGGGAGAGAGAGAGAGAGAGAGAGAGAGAGAGAGAGCGAGAGAGAGACAGGAACTCCTAAAGAGGTTAGCATATAGCATCAGTTACATCAGAACTGTAGAGAATTTCTTCACTGAAAGAAGAGCTAGAGCTTTTCACTCTGGAAAAGCTGATTCCGCTCTTTCCTGGTTAGGAAGGGTGCAGAATCTGATTGGCTGAAGTTAGCCAGTAGACAGAGATAAACAGATGGTTCATCCAATCACCTGCCGTGTATTTTTCTTGAAAGTGTCTTTTCCAAACTGTTAAAACGAAGCCTCCCCAGACGGTTGCGTGTGACAAACCATCTGGTGCATCAGGTTAGCAGGATGGCAGTCACCAAAACTGTCAAATGAATGAGTTATCTGTCAAGTTTGTTTACTGTAACTTAATGTTCAACTTATGTTTAACTTAATGCAACATAATGTTTAAATTCTGCCTAACTTAATGCAACTTAATGTCCAGTGTGAACACGAAACACGCTGGAAATAAAAGGCAACAGTATGTTTTTTCCTTGGTCCAGACAAAATGAACTGAACTGCATGTATGACAGCGGCAATAATATGTTTTGACAGAAGTTATAAAAATAAAATCACACAGTGTGACTTACAAACAGACATTTGCATCCTTTGAAATGCTGAGAAATTTCACTTCAAATGATTAAAAAAAAAAAACTCCTGCTAGCAGAGCATCAAGAGAGTGAAAGAAGACGTTCAAAGAGAAGTGAAAACAGGGAGAGCAATGCACTGCCATCAAAACAGACTGCAACAGGTGGCGCGACAGGTGCTCTGAGCAAGATGGTAAGATATAGAGAGCGGGAAGGTGTAAGCAAAAAGGATGACAGGGATGCACGACATCACAAAGCGGATATCACATCGCTTCAAAAAAAAAACTGACACAGGTTAGAGCTGGGAACAGTGTTCAGCTCTTTTAATCCAGTGGTTCAACTGAAAACTGATTATTTATTTTACACACAAGACGTGGATATTTGTCTGACTCACTAGAATTTGAAGAGTTGATTTAAAGAATATTCCCCCGTGTGCTGTTCTTTCTCATAAAGAAGCAGTTGAAGTGATTTTATTTCAGAGGTTTTGCCTCATGTTCATTAAGTCAGCAGTAACAGTCTGACCCTGTGCAAAATTCATGGGCGGGTAATTTCAGCCGATTCATTAAATTATGGAAGTGATTAGTTCAGCCGAACCACATTATTGGGTTATTGTCAGCTGTGTCCCAGGTGAAAGCCGGTGACTATCAACATGTTAATATTTAAAGTCGTGTTACATATTTAACACCGACATGATTGGCCACGCATGGTGGCACAATGGATCACGAAGTGTCGGGAGGACAAAAGAAGGTGGAGCCGGAAAAAAAGGGATTTGGAGCCTGGCCTTCAAATAGTCCCATGATAAATCATAATTAAACATCTGAACTTTCATTTAATTCAGATGTGCTGTGCTGTACGTGGAAGCTGCAGCTCCCACTTACAGAATTAATATCTAGGAAAACACATTTCTGGGAAGGAATCCTACATTTAGGATTAAAGAGGAAGCGTAATTTTACCCATTATGCTTTAATTTGCCCTATGAACTGTTTTCATTTGGTGCCGTCAATCACTCAGTTTTTGCAAAAACGTGTTCGGAACAAAACCTCTCACTGAGGAGTCACTCTGAAAAGGAAGGGAAAAAAAAGAAAAAGAAGAAGGGAGCATATATGGAACGAGAGGTCCTCACCCTGCCATGACGATGAAGAAATCCAGCCGGTTCCACGTGTCCCCGAGGTAACAGCGGCGGCCGAAGATTCCCAAGGCGACCATCTTTATGACCATCTCCAGAGCGAAGAAGATGTAGATGAACGCGTCAAAGGCCTGACAGACAGACATCAGGAGGGACAGAGACAACGTGTCACAAAGCAAACTGGCAGAGCTTGTCATCGCTATTGTGGCTGGAGTCAGAAATAATGAGACGGGATGGGCTAAAACCAACCCGAGGTCATGTGTTGGATAATTCTGACTATTCTGTAATCTTTACTTTTTTTATTTCTTGTTAAATAATATTTCATCCCCTAACCCTAACTTTATGTAATATTATGTAATCACTCCATGATTTCAAAAATGAATTCCTGCCAACAGATATTTGAGTTTCCTTCCTTTTTTAACAGAAATCGTGAACACCTTGAAATGAATGGGTTAATGACCGGGCTTCAGCAGCAAGTGGAAAAACACCACCTGGTGCTGTGAATCTGTACCAACATGCTGATGGCATCCGTGGGTCCGTCCTGCCTGCTGTCAACAACATAAAGTGGTAACAGGGAGATATTATGTCTGCATGACTCATCTTTATGAAATGGGTATTCTGGGCGAATGACAAGATGTGCGCACTAGATCACCTCAGGATTTCTCCAATATCACAGTGGCTGAATCCAAACATCTGGACTTTCCCCCCCTGACTTTAAGGGCTCAAACCTGTGACATCTGGAAAGCCTAGAGCTGTGTTAATCCATAATTTATCTTGTTTAAAAAGGCCTCGAGTGCACTTCCTGCAGACTTGACAGACAGAGAGTCCGCTTCAGGTACAGACCTACAGGTCGGCCACATTTTACATATACAACACAAATATTCATTTAAACAAATGCTTAAAATATAGGCGTATTAATGCATTTAATGATTCTATATAGCGATGCTTGATATTGCAGACAAATTGCAAATGTGATTCCACTCAGAACCAATTAGATAAATAATGACATGGATAATAGGGTCAAGATCTTTTGGTCAAATCCATGGGAACTACTGAAGTCCAATCTCACTTGCATTTCATCCTCTCACTACCCAGCATCCTTTCCAACTTTATGCTTTTTTAAAATTTTTTAACTCATTCATTTATTTAAGCCTCAAAGATCATTGGGGTTTGCAATGATGTCGAGATACACAGAAATACACAGGGTTGAAATTCAAAAGAGAATGCTGAATGATTAGCGACTATTACTACAACATTTTTTTGTAATTGATTGATCATTTTTCAAGCAAAACTTACAAACATTAATTGTTTCCAGCCTCCTCAATGACCATTTTATACTTCTGTTCGTCTTATGTGACAGTAAACTGAATATCTTCCGTCTTAAACGTGCAAAATGAAGAAGCCATCTCAGGCTGTGGAAAATTATCATGCAGATATTTCACTGTTTTCTCACATTTTACCGACTAAACAGTTGATCAATAAATTGAGAAAATAATCCGCAAATTAACTGAAAATAATCGTGAGTTGCAGCCCAAGACTGTCAGGGCGAGCGAGATTCAGGTGCAGTTTCCAGGGATGAACCCATAAAGGAGGAGGATGAGGTGTGTGTGTGTGTGTGTGGGGGGGGTCACCCTGGAGTGTGACACAAATTCAGGTTGTAGTGGAGGTAAAGTGGGATCATCCCCTGCACCAGGGTACATATAAAATGGAAACGGAGCCATGAAAGGTTTCAGTAACTTCCTCTTTCCTCCTCTTCTGTTGTGGCTTCGCCTCCCTGCTGATCTTTTACTCCAGACTCTCTTCCTACAACCATTTCATCTTCTTTCTCCCTGACAATTTCATATCTCCGTCTCTCCCTCCTGACCTCCTTTCTCTCTATTAAAACTGTTTCTCTCCTTCCCCCCCCCCTCTCCCCATTTGAACAGTTTGCCCTAAACAGTGGGGTAATGGAAAATAATTTGTTTGAGCAGTAATCAGAGATAAGCCCCACGCCACAACCCACCCCCACCCCCACCTCACTCCCAGCTTTAATCAAGCATCTAATTAAAAGAAGAAAGAAAAAAAATCCAAATAAATCAAAGATCTCAGCTTGCTAATGCGTGTTATTGCTGTTGTGAGCAAAAAGCCTAGATTAGCTGCTGTTCTTTTCTGTGTATACAGGGGGATTAGAGATGAACTGACGCGCTTGGCGTTGCCTGTAATTTGATTTTCAGAGGGAAGTACTGTAGGCAACACGATCTGCAGCTGAAGAACTGATGTGGAGCTTTGATTTGTTACCGGCTCGCTGGTGAAGAAACAAAAAAAAAAACTGCCTACTCAGCAGTCCTGGAGGTGTGTAGAGAAGCCAGACCGGCCTACTAATGTGGAGGAAATGGTCAAAGGTGGAAGCCTTGACCTTTGTCAAACCAGAAAGATGGACGAGGTGCTACCTTGTGTAAAGTTCACGGACCCAAGGGAGATGAAGACAAATGTCAAAAACTTTCCTTCTCTGACATTTCATCAGCTGTCAGTCTCACACCTATCACTCCATTTTGATTTTTCCTGCCTGTCTACCTGTGTCTTGTTTTCTTTTGCACCTCTTTATCACTATACTTCCGTGACCCATCTTACTCTCTTTTTCTTGTTTGGCACTCGAGTTCGATCAGTCACTAGATTTTTTTGGCCAATCAGAAGAGAGAAGGCTCTGAGTCTCTCTTCTGATTGGCTGACTCTTCGGAGTGGTAAATTAGAAATATAGCAGATTTTAGGGAAACACAAATCCTGCAAGGTTGGATTGTGGGTTATGTGTTTATCTGTAAAAAAAAAAAAAAAAATCTTGATCAATATACGAGACTTTTTTTAACTCTCCAACATCAGTATCACCTTCCTACGTTACATAACTCCACCACTATGTTTCAAATCTGTCTATACAAATAGCAAATCATTATTATATAAGTGAAAACTATTCAATTTTTGATGGTGAAAATCATTTAGGCCTGAAGGCTCCAAAGTTTCACGCCTTTAGCTCAGCTCAGGAAGTGATCAGATCAAAGAGTGTTGCTATTATAAAAGACTCTGCAGGACGCGAGTGTCTCAGCTTGTGTCCGAGCTCAAGCATGTTCTGCATTTGTACTTGTAATTTGTGATGATGGATGATATTTGCCTGCACTTTCTCTGTCTGGGGGCTTATTATTGATTCTCTTACATTTCCTATTCGGTAAGATGGAAACACTGCCGTCCTCGCACAACAACCTGTGATGTCTATGAGGATTCTCTCATTCCGGGTCATTAGATAGCTGGAAGGCAGTCAAATGCAAATGAAATTGCTGTTTGGTCGCACATCCAAGAGGCGTTGATGAACCCTCCAGGATGAGTTGTGAGGCGTCCTCCAGACTATAACTGCAGTTGCCTCTGACTCCAACAGAACAAACTAGACTTTAGTTATCATCCGAACCATCTTCCCAGACTTTAACCACTCACCCATCCACCAGCATATAGTAGCTAACCAAATAACTAAGTATGTTTCCAGAGGTCTGTAAGTCTACATTTGTTAGAGCTTATAGATTGTGCTGGTGAGGCACCATTGAAATCACGGCATTGAACAACGGATTTTCTAAGAGGAGTGTATTGACCGTGGCGCTGTGGCCCACTAAATCCATGCTGATATTGAATAGGGTCTATAGATACTTGGAGGAGAAATTCTATTAGGTCCAACTCACCAGCCACCTCCCCCAGGGAGCGTGAATCAATCCACCGTGTGTGTTGGCTGTTGTATGATGAGTGTGGTGCCTTGTGTGTGCGTGTGTGTGTGTGTGTGTGTGTGTGTGTGTGTGTGTGTGTGTGTGTGTTCATGTGAGCATGTGAAAAACAAGACACCGGGGTGATTCAACAACCGACAGACTGAAGACATACGTGCACACGCTCGCGCACAGATGTTACACCCACTCAGGCCACCTTTGACAGAAGCAAGAAGGAATTCTTGCGTCTTGCCAGATGACGAGGAAAAGCTGCTGAGGTGCCGTACGTGTGAAAGTCATGCTCGCTGCACCATAAAGACCACATGCTAGCAGTGAGTCACCGCCAGGAGTTACAGGACCCAGCATGGGAGAGGGAGCGCGAGGGGGTGGGGGGTTGAGAGGACGAAACACAGAGAGGAAGAGAGTGAACAGTCGTAATGTCAACACAAGCATGTAGGAATAAGTGGATATATGTGCACACTTCCTAGAAGCGCACTCTTCGCTCTCTGCTTCTAGGAATATGTGTATGAATGTAGCACGAGGTTTGCGCCTGTTCCTTTACATGTACAGCTCTCGTACGTAAGTTCGGTCTTATATAGGTTAGATATAAAATATGTATGGCTGAGAACAAGTGTGCACGTGTGCAGATTTGTTGACGCATGTTTGTTGGTGTGTGAGTGATTTTCTGCAGTATGAATGTAGAGCCTCTAATCAAATATACATGATCCTGTGTAAGTACGTACTTTTAGAAATAGTTACCAAGTGCGTCAGAGAAGAGAAAGACAAAGGTCTTCAGCCACACTACAAGCTTCTAATGCTCATCGTAAAGAAGTTCAAATTAAAAGTTGAGGTCGTGAAATAAATGTAAATATTGAACAGAGGGTGGTGTGAGTGTAAATATCAATAACAAGGTAGCTGGATAAATTGACTGATCAAATAAACCAATAAGGCAATCATTGGGTGGAGTGGATGGGTGCAAAACGTAGATTTGCTATAAGTGGCCAAAGTTTTGAAGATGTCACTCATAGGATTCTGAGGAGCTGTTTTGAAGCTCAGAGTGGGCTGCTCCGCCGTTACCATCTTGGCAGCACCTGACTCCGCCTAACTCCCGGCTAATCAAAGAGGTGGGGCGTGTGTGGAGCCGAGACTTTGGTCCATGCTGGAAATACGCTCACCCACCTGTCACTCAAAGTGGCACGCCCTCAATTATGCAGAACTTTAAGCCTTAATAAAACTTAAACAGGTGAGTTGCAGCGAAGGGGTTAATTAGTTATACACACCAAAACCTGTCTGTAAACATGTTTATCTCTGCTGGGCATTTTTACGTGGGAGTCTATGGGGTGAACTCGCTGCTGGAGCCAGCCTCAAGTGGTCGCTCAAGGAACTGCAGTTTTTTTTGCACTTCTGTGTTGGCTTCATGTTTCGGCCACGGCGGTTGAAGGTTGGTGAAAAAGAACAACAACTTAACCGTTCCTGGACGTCCCTGGCAAAGCTAAAAACACCAGCACAAAACTGTGCAAACTACAAAAATAGAAAATGATTGTATCAGGAAAAATTACAAGTGAATTTTCAGATATGCACAGATTTAAACGCTCAGAGATTTAATGGGGGGTTGCTCAAAACTGGAGCAGCAATAATGGCAAAATCATTATTACAAACGTGTGTTGTGTGTGTGTGTGTGTGTGTGTGTACCTGTAGAATTTGGCATCGGTCCGAGGAGCAGTCGATGTTCTCACAGGGCTGGTACATCCCCAGGGTGACGCAGTTCAACAGGATCACCATCATACTGACACGTTCAAACCATGTGGAAACACAGCTGGTTAAGGAAAACAGCTGACAGAGCGACAGATCCAATCTTCAGAATAAAGAAGAAGTGAGTTTTCACGGGGGACATACTTTCAACACAACTGTTGAATATCAGCAATAAATGACATTAAATTACTGAGTCTGTGCCTAAATTAATAACACTGTGATGGAACTGGTTCAAATGAAAGAAAACAAAGTCTTTAAAACAAACTTTAGTGCTGCTCTAATGCCAGAAATCATCAAGACAATCATCATGTAAGAAGTTGAGGATCAACGTTCAACACTCTGCTTCCTACGAATGACGAGCTGCATGGAATCTTAATGGAAACTGAAAACTCACAAACAAACAAAAAAATCACATTTTGAGCCCAATCTGAACTGATCACATGTTTACAGACTGATTTGAGTTCAGACGTATTGTGCTGGCTGCAATTTCCTGAAATTAGTCTTGTGAATTGGTTTTGGTTGAGCCTTCAAAATAAAATCATGACAGTATAAGAAGTAAAAGCTAATGCAGAATGTAATTCTTTTTTTTTTCTTTATTTATTTATTAAAACAGTGTAATCATCCCAATAAGTGAGTATTAAATGACATTAATGAGCAAGTTATACTGTAGTATGATAGTAAATGTTATGTTTTGATTGTGAAGTCTGCAGTTTCACACACTGTGCAGAATCCCATCACTCCTACAGGCCTGTTCTTTACCAACACACTAACATTTCAAACACAGTGTTTTCAAAAGTTCATCAAAGACCTTCAAAGCCAGTATAACTGCATTAGAAGTGCAGCAATTCTACCAGAACTAGAGTGAACGAAAGGTTGAAACCTGTAGGGTCCAATTCAGTCACAAAATGTCATAGTTTTCCAGAGTACAGCTTTGACTTTAAAGGCCAGCCATGATTTCTCTGAAACTGCTAATGGCTAAATGTTTCTGTTAACGTGCAGGCCTCAAGAGCAGTTATAACAGAGAACGTAATGTTAGCAGCAGCAATGAAAAATACAGTGTGTGATATTTACGATGTGTACAGTTTTCTCATTTCACTGTATTACTCACTGGACATTCACATAAACATCCACAATTATAAAGCTAAATGATCTCTAACATAAGTGAATTTAACACAATTCAATTCTACCATCTACTGTCAGTGTGAACTAAAGCAACGCACCGACGCCCTGCTGGTTCAGCGGTTCCTATGGGGAAAGTTCACTTCTCTAAATGCTGCGGAGCAAATGTTAGACAATATCTGTGCCGATGCCGAATGTTTGGAGAGCACCGTGGCGTGAGCAGCACTCGTTTTGAGGAGAGGTTAACGGAGCGATCAGAACATGTAAAACCAGAGCCGAGCGCCAGAGAAAACGGACAGAAACAAAGCAGCAGAACGTGACAGAGGGATTCAATATGTATTTCCTATGTGTTCAGGGGGTGAGCACACTCCTTGGCTAACAAGCGTGTGAAGGAGGATGTGTTGTAATAGCCCAGGACGTCCAGTCTCTCCCCGAGGCGATGCAGTCCAGGATTGCTGAAAAGCTCCTGCAGCAGCCTACATCACAGAGCCCGCAGGTCGGCAGCCGCTCCAGCAAGAAAAAAAAAAAAAAAAAAAATGGTGAACCTGTTCTTTCCTTTGCTACACTGCAGGTTTGAACAGACAGGATTAAATTCTTCAACATGTTTCTCTTGGCCCTGCCTGAACCTTCCTACAAAGAGATGGACGACTGTAGATATCACAGCATGGATAAAGATAGGCTGTGTGTGGGCAAAACACATGCATACACATAAACACACACACACACACACACACACACACACACACACACACAGACAGAGCCTCGCACACATGCAACCAAACACCCCCTCATCAACACACACATAAGCAGATTTGCACGTGCAACCAAAATGCTCAAAAACATAAAACGCTCGCAACTCGCCCACACACTCACACACACATTCACACGCTCACGCTCACTCACACACACACCCTCAGTTGTGCGCATTAAGTCTCTCATTAAATCAAACATTAAATCGATGTGTGTCAGCTGATGGGGATCATTTAAAGATAAATATTCAGCACAGCAGGGAGCCATGTTTAATATTGATGTCCCAACAGGCTAACAGCTGTGAAGTAGACATGCGAAACAAGGTTAAGAGGCAAGATTTGTCATCTAATACTTGTTGGTGAGACCTCACAGATTCTACTGCCAGACCGACATCACACGTGGTGATTAATACACAGTAAGATAAATTTTTAATTGGGTTATACTGTTATACCGGCTGCCAAGATCTGCCTATTAAAACACAACACATCTCAGACTTTTACTACAGGTAAAAAACCAGTGAGACATTAAGCTGAATTTGTCAAGAAGTGTTTGCAGTAACAACATACAGCATCAAAAAGCAGCAGATTAAAAAGAAATAAGAATCACCGCCTCGTGGTTGTTTGCCTACGCCAACCGGCTAAGTTGCAGGAAATATGGTCACCATCTCCTCTTCCTGAGTTACATCGCTGAATCAATGTCCAGAGGTGTTTTTGCAGAACATTATGATGTCACAGTGAAGTTGACTTTTGACCTTTGAATCTAATCAGTTCATCGCTGCGTCCTTTGAGTCCAAGGGAATGCCGGTGTCAAAGCTAAAGAAATTCCCTCAAGTTGGTCTCGAGCAATCACATTCAAGAGGCTAAAACCATGTTTTGTGAGATGACTGCGACCTTGACCTTTGACCTTTGACCACCAAAATCTCATCAGTTCATCCATGACTCCAAATGGATATTTGTGCCAAATATGAAGAAGTTCCCTAGAGGCGCAATTGCGATATTGTATTCACAAGAACGGGACAGACGGACAAACATAATGCCTCCAGCTCTGGCTGTAACAGCGTGACATCGTCCTAAAATAAGATAAAATATATTTATCAAACAGCCAAATTATAAATATACACAGCTCTGCCACTTATATACGCCTACTTTAAATTACACAAGCTTTGCTTGTCGATGTGTTAAGTAATGTGTTAAATTTTACACTTATTTGTACTAAATTGAATTATGTGAGACAATCTTGTGACTCCAGCTGCGACACCTGTCAACATGCTGATGTGTTCAGTGGTCATTATATTACATATATATGACTACTCAGTCCTCGTGGGCTGGACAACAAACAAACAAACAAACAAACAAACATCAAACTTCAAACCTTCATTTGGACCTCACCTACACGTTTGTAAGTACCTGTAGTTTTGTGTTTGTCTCTTGCACAGTTGTAACGCTACCGTGGTGACAAAGTCTGTCCACAGACAGACACCTGCTGAAGTCCTCTGCCTCTGCCTGTGTAATTTCCCGCTACAGTAGGTGTCTCCAGGACAACATTTTGCCATGATGACACAAAAAAAAAAAAAAAAACATTGTCATAGCTCACTTTTGGGGAGAATACATAGACTTACATTCATTTCCTGGGGATTTACCGTAACCATAACCACTACTTGGTTCACCCTAACCAACTGGGGACATGGCTTTTGTCCCCTTTCAGATGAGGTTCTGCCCAAATAACTGGTCTTTAGTTCCCAAAAAATAGCCTGTGAGACACACACACACACACACACACACACACACACACACACACACACACACACACACACACACATTATGAAAACAACAGCAGCCATGCTGTTCACATGTTGTCACTGCTCCTCTGGCAGGCGGACTGCAGGCTATCACACACATGCACACTTTTGCAACTTCAGCTGTTTTCTGTAGCTCTCGCCTCCTAATGAGGACAGAGATATCCACCGCAGGTGTCACTGAGCTCGTGGTGAGGCCCTCCAGGCGCCGCCCGTGAACAAACCACCCTAAAAAAGCGCAGCCCCTTCTGGCAGATACACACTTATATGTCAATAGCATGAGCTGGATAAAACTGCAGGTCAGCGCTTTCTTATTTCCCAAGTCTAAGTAATGATGACAGCCCTTGGGCTAATGCTATAAGGATTATCTCGAGGTTATTTCCACTGCCAAATGCGTTATTTAAAAACAGCCTCCGCCAGTTACCAGAGTGCCCGGCTCTCCAGTTTGGCTTCTCATGCTCACTGACTATACATGAGCTGCCTTTAACAATGTGCAAGTGTCTGTCTGTCTCTCTCCACTTCTGAAAAATGAGTCAATTAGTGTAGGTGCCTTGGAGGAGGCTCTGTATCTTTTTTTTTTTTTTTTTTTAACTCTTCTCCCTCACACAGATACACACACCACACATCAACACCGCTACTGGATGGAAGAGCAGGTGGAATTCAAAGCACAGAGTTCGATTAGAGACGAGAAGATTGACTCAAAAATTCTTTGATGGAAATGTTTCACCTCTGGAATTTTTTTTAACTTTCTTTTTGTTTTACCAGGGAGTGAATGCAAAGTAGGGTGCTGTTTCTCCGCTTCACATTCATCCAGCAGCTGTCACTCACTACGGCAAGCTGCTGGAAACACCTACAGTATTTCAATGTAGGCCACCGCATTAAACTAGTTGGAGGTACAGTTTGACTGACACGACCTTCTGATGATTTCGAGCATTCGTGTCATAAAGTACAGCACTTAAGAGGTTTCTCTCTGATAGACCTTCGGGCTTTGGCAGAGAGAAAAGCTTCTAAAAGAGATTTTTTTTGGCCGCCACTAAAATCAATTTTAATGTAAATCTGAGAGTAAGGTAGGCGTTAAAGGCTTTACATAGGTGATATACAGTATAACACAATTATTTGTACTATATGTCATCAAACTAACATCCTGCTCTATCAATCAAAACAATTGTTTGATATTTTAAGGTGGAAAAGTTACATATTATTGCTAAAATGAAAATTTGTTGTTGACTGGTCTATGTGCAAAATGTTTTAGAGCTGCGGTGAATCATTATCATTGATTATTTTCATGACTGATTTATCTCGAAATTATTTTCTCTGATTAACTGAGAAAGATGTTCATCACAAGCTCTGAGAGCCAAAATATTCCCTTGAGGGTTTTGTTTACCAAC